AGCTTACCTGTCTTCACCTGAGAACCCCTCCAGGGTGCGCCAGAGAGGACGCGGGCATGTTCTGGAGCCCAGCTGCGTAAGGCTGGGAGAGTGGCCGGGTCAGGCTCCATCCTCAATCAGAGCCCCAGGGGGGCAGGACCCTGTGGCCCCCATGGGCTCTGTTTGGCCACGGGTAGCAGGATTTAGCTAGAAATTCAGAACTTCGGGCCGAAAATAAATCGAAAGCTCACACAGCCCTGGACGTTGAGCATCTCCAAGCGTTGGTGATATAACCGTGTCCTCTGCGTCTCCTGTTCTGCCGCGGACTGTTCCATCCCTCACAGTTCATCTTGGCTGGATGGTCTCCTCCAGCCTGGCCTTACCCTAGAGCAGCGATTCTCAACCTGTGGGTCATGACCCTTTGGGGGTCGAATGACCCTTTCACAGGGGTCGCCTAAGACATAACAGTAGCAAAATTACAGTTATGAAGTAGCCACAAAAATAATTTTATGGTTGGGGGTCACCACAACATGAGGAACTGGATTAAAGGGTCGCAGCGTTAGGAAGGTTGAGAACCACTGCCCTAGAGGTACCCTCTTTTAGCTTTTATTTTTATTTTATTAAAAAAATTATTTTTCTTTATTTTTGTTAGAGACAGAGGAAGGGAGAGGGAGAGAGATAGAAACACCAATGAGAGAGAATGTCGACTGGCCGCCTCCTGCATGCCCCCCACTAGGGATCGGGCCCACAACCCGGGCATGTGCCCTGACTGGGAATCGAACAGATACTTCTTGGTTCCTGGGTCGATGCTCAACCACTGAGCCACACCGGCCAGGTTCTTCCAGCATTTAGGCCCCTGGGTTTCCATCAGCATTTAGGCCCCTGGGTTTCCATGCTTCCTTATGTGTCTTGCCCCCAGGCTCCGCCCAGGGTGTGGCGGGGCAGAGAGGGGGGACAGCCCAGCATCATCTCCATACCGGCCTTGTCCTCCTCAGCAGGGAAGGCAGTAAACAAGCTGACCACGGTGCCCGCCGTCTCGCCCCTCTGCCCACTGCTCAGCTCTCCTTCCCCCACTCCCGCCTGCTGGCATTCCTGGGCGCAGCCAGACTTGGGGCCAGCTGCCATCGTGACTACTTAGCTCCCTCTCTTTACGCGGAGCGACAGGTCCAGTCTGCAGCCGGGAAAGCCCTGCTGTTCCTGGAACAGAGCGGCTGGAGCACTGGGCCGGGCCCCCCAGGCCCACACCCTGGGGAGCTCCGATCCGGCATCAGGAGCAGCCTCCGCGTGTCCGCCTAGATTTCCCGCCCCAGGGCTCGGGATTCCCATCCTCAAACCTCCTCCGGGGTCTCCCCCAGCTCTGAGCCAATCAGGGTGCTTGGGCCAAAACACTTGGGGTCAGCCCGGACACCTCTCTTTTCCCTTCTCCACCTCTGATGGTTCAGCCCCCCCCAAGCCCCCCCCACTCGTGTATCCTGAATCTGTCTGCTTTCCTCCATCCTGCCACCAACACCCTGGTGGAGTCCCAGCATCGTGGCTCAAAGACGGCAGCAGTGTCTTATCCGGGCTCCCCAAGTCCGCCCTGGCCCCTCCGCCGGCCCTTTGCGCACAGCAGCCTTCCCGTCACTCCCCTGCTCCGACCTGCAGTGGCTCCCACGCTCCCCGGCCCACGAGGCCTTCTGTGAGGTGGCCACTGTGGCTTTCCTCTTCTCTTGACCATTCTCCTGCCTGTCACCCAGCACCAGCCACATGGGCCATCATTCTGATCAGCCTGCTCTGCTCACCCCTCGTTGTTCTTCCCCGAGCCTCCTGGCCAGGTCACTGCTCAGTCACCCCTCAGATGGGCCTCCCCTGACCTCCCCCCAGCTGCAAGCAGAGGTGTGGGTGCCCCCCAGCTGGAATGTGAGTGACAGGAATAAGGACACACATCCCAGCCCCAGTGCAGGGTGGGGCACAGAGGCTGCACCCCGTAACTGCTGGCGGCGTACGTCAGAGAACCAGGTGGGGCTTCGTGCCCTTCGCTGCAATGCAGCACCATACAAACCCCAACTCTGACCCGGAAATCCCACGCTAGGAGGTCACGAGGCAGATGTGCATAGAGTAAGTCCGGTATGTCTGACATGTTCATCGCAGTGTTGTTTGTTGTCCTGAGTGACTGGCAACAACCAAGGTGTCCATCCGTGGGCAGTGGCTCAAATCGGGCATGGCACGGCCAGAGGGCGGAACGCTGTGTGGCCACTGAGCAGGAGGAGACGGGTCTGTCTGCATGGTCCTGTCACCAAGGGAAGACATCAGAGCCCGGTGCTCAGGACAGATTGATTGTAAACACATTCCTGGAGTCGGAGCTCTGGCCGCGCTCAGATGAGTCTAATTCATAAAAGGAGGGAGATGGGAGGCTGGGGGCTGCCATGCTGATCCCACTCTGACCTCGACCTGTGAGAAAGCGAGCCTGGGAGGGAAGCGACGCCCCGGCTCACACCAGAGCCCGGATGGCCCAGGTCCCTTCCACCAAACCCTCTGCTCTCAGCCAGTTCTCAGGGCACAGCCTGGTGAGAGGTGCATCCCAACCTCACCTTGAGACCCTCGAGGCACACCCTTTCCTCCAGACCCTCAGCTTCCTCTTGGGCAAAATGAACCCATTCCCTCCCCCACCTCCCTTACCTCTTCTGTAGCTGTCAGAAGGATAAAATGTGGGTTGGGGTCAGTATTTCCCTTTCCTGGGTGCTTAAGACACACCTGCCCAGTCCTGCCCTGCCCTAGGCTTTGATGCTCCTATCGAATCCACACAACCGCCCTCTGAGGAAGGGCTGTGTGTAGCCCCACTTTGGCAGTGAGACTCCCAGGGGTGGGGTTCCTAGCTCAGTGTCTTGTCGGTGGTAAGCAGGGAGCCTGGGCGTGAACCTGGGTGGTCGACGTTAGCCCCACTGTACTATGTATAGAAAGAGACCACAGTTGCATAATGTGCAAATGGGTCCCCCAAACCCCAGGGGCCCTGGAGCGCTGGACCAAACCCCAACTCCCCACCACAGCCTGTTCCCCCCAACCACTGAGTAAGAGACCAGGGAGCCTGGTGCCTGCAGCTGCCTGGGTAGGGCCCGGTCTCCCTGTAATTAAGGCAGCAGGAGGTTGGGCGGTGGGGAGGGGTGAACCGTGACAGCGGAGCTTCCCTGAGCCGGGCCAACCACATCTGCAGCCTCTGACTGCTCTAGGAGCAGCAGGAGGGGGCTGGGAGGGGCCCAGGTAGGTGTTTTCCTCCCTGCCACCCCGGACCTGGGTCCTCCGCCAGCCTCCTGGCTTGTCTCCTTGCCTTACATCTCCCTGCTCTTGATGGTCCCGCCTCAGCGTCAGACTCATGTCTCCAAAAAGCTGGTCACCAAGGCTCGGCTTTTAACATTCTAGCAATGCAGAAAGCTTTCTCCTGTTTTAAGTGCAGAGCGTTAAGAAGACTGGGAAGGAGCCTCTCCCGGGAATACCCAGGCATCGCTGGAAAGCAGGCCATTCCCTGCAACGAATGCCCTCCGACGCTGCGTGTGCCCCTGGACCAAGCCCACACTCCCAGGCTGTCATCCAGGCCCTTCTCGCTCTGGTCCCATCCGGCTCATCTCCCCTGACATGCCCCCAGTCACTTGTCACTCCCCAGTGCGCGCTCCCTTCCTGCTCAGCCTATCCAAATTCCACTCTTCTCTCTCTGCCCAGTTTACATGCCTCCTCACCCAGGCAGCCTTCCCTGATTGGGCACAAATGACACACTCTTTGTCTCCCACAGGGCCCTCTTCTGTGTTCTGCACCTAAGGCATCTTTGTCTCCTTCCCTACCTCCCCCTAAACCCTGTCCCCAAGCACCACAGTCTCCCTGGGGTCCAGGCCTGGCCTGGAGGCTACTCACAAGCCATGGACAAGCCGCTTCACCTGTCTAAGCGGCACCGTGCTCATCTGTAAAATAGGCTAGCCGTGGTGTCTGCCAGCGAGGAGTGCCTGAGACAACGTGGGTGCGCACTCAGAACGGTGCCCAGCTCTGGTGGCTGCGTACTGAGTGGTACCCAGTGTTACAGCTGTTCCTCTTGTCACAGTAGCCAGACAGGCCTTTTTCAAGAACTTGGAACGTGTCACTCCCATGGACCATCCCTAGGGTCAGGCTTGAGAACATCCCCGTGCGCCCCTGCCTGACCCTCTCCCGCTGCCCTCCTCGGTCCCACCTCTGCACCATCTCCTCAGCCACTGCTCCAGGCATCCAGAGCTTATCTGGGGCACCCCATGCACCCTCTCAACTCGAGGCTTTTGCACAGGCTGTTCCCTCCATCTGAAACACCTTTCCCCCTGCTCCCTGCTTCTAGTTTCTACTCATCCTTCAGACCCCAGCTTAGGTGCCCATTCCTCCAGGAAGCCTTCCATGACCATCCCCCCCAGCCAGATGAGGCATCCGCCCTCTGTGCTCCTGCAGCACTTACCCCACACACTGCATTGCAACGACCTGCTTACCTGTGAGCTCCGTGAGGCGAGTCTGGCTCCTGCTGCAAACCCAGCATCTAGCATGGTGTCTGGCGTGGAGTAGATGCTCAAAAAAATGTAGTGACTAACTGAATGGATGGATGAGTCAATTTCTGCATCCTCCACACTGCAGGAAATGTCTGTAGAACAGATTTGAGTGGGAGGTTCCAGCAGGGCCTGGGAGAAGCCCCTGGGATTTGGGTGCTGGGTGGTGAACAGAGCAGACCCCCGTCCCCTCCCTCAGTGGGTCAGCCCTCCCCCTTCCCACAGACCCCTGGGGCCCCAGAGCCAGCTTCCAGATGCTAAGCCCCAGCTCAACCTCACCTCTTAGCTTTTCCATCTGCACAGCTGGGCCAGAGCCCCGCAGCCAGCGTCGCGGGCAGCCAGACCAGTCGTCCCCGGCGTCTTCCTATTTTAGACATCTCGCTGCTTCGCTGCTTGGGTCCCTTCTAATGTTTCCAGCCAGGCTGCGGGGGGAGGAAAAAGAGGTTACTGCTACTTTAAATGTACTGTATGAAGGCGAGGGCTGGAAAGGGGCCTGCTTGCAGGAGTACCCAGTCATCTAGTTGGAAAAGCCGCCAGATGGAATACAAAAGGAGAAACCCAGACGCTCATGGAGACAGCCTCGGTTCATAAATCAGGTGGGGCCGGGGGCTGGGGGCCCATAAGCCATGGAGCCCGACTCCCTCCTGGACCAAGACGACTCCTACGGTAAGAGGGGCGCCAGCAAAGTGGCTGAGTTGGGGATTCAGCCGCTGCTCAGGCAGACTTTTCTCTGCTTACTGCAGGAATCTGAGTTGAAGTGGGGAGGTGGGCAGGCAACCGGGCACTGTCTGGTCTTGGGAGCCCAGGTTAGGGGCACAGGGCTACAGGGTCCCGAGTGGAGCCTTGGGCGGCCCCTCGGTCTCCAGGCATTGGCCGGGGTGGGGTGGGGGTGTGTGTGTGGGGGGGGATTCTGCTGTTTCTGTTGTGCTCTTGGCCAAGAAGGAAAGGGAAGGAAGTTTGCAGCCCCCGCCTGTGGGCCTCGCTCGCTGTCCCCAGGCCTGCTGGGTGCTATGGGGAATTTAATTAGTGAGATCCTGAAGATAAATATAGATCGTCCAGCAACAAGAACGTTCCCTGTAATTAAAGCCAGACTGAAAGGGCTCCCCACTTTGCAGGGCCCCAGGGGCTGCGCCTGGAAAACCTGGGCGGATTGTCGGGGGAAAGTTGCTTGGGACAGGGTCCTTGCTAAGAGCCCGGGATGGGGACTTGGAAGACTCTGGTAGCTTGGCCGCGCAGTCTCTGCGGGCTTGGGGGCGCAGGTAACCAAGACCCTGATTGCTCAGCGTGGCCAGGCTGCTGCCCCCTGGGCTAGGACGCCAGGCACACTCTGGATACCTCTGGGCTGTGTGGGGAGGGAACAGGAGGGCGGGAGTGAGGCTGAGGGGTTGAGGCTGGTGTGGGGGGCAGCAGGTTTGGGGGCTCAGTAGGGAGAAGGCCCTGTTGGCCTCAGAGGGGAGGTTCAATTGAGAGGTGGCCCCACCCCAGCTTGGGTCAGCCTTTTGAGAACCCTGGTCCTCCTGGGACCACAGTGCCTGCTAAGAAAACTGAGTTAGTTTCCCTCCCCTTTTCGCCCCCTAGCCAGGCCTGGCCTCTGGGCACAGATTCAAGGCCAAATTTCCTTCCTCCTGCAGGAGCTCAGCTTTTCCAGGGAGAGGGGCCTTTGCCACGTGGGGAGCTGCAGCCCTCGGGGAGCTCGGCAGGGCCCAGCCCATGGACCTGGTGTCCTTGGGCAGCGGAAAGGCCAGTGGACTCCGCTGAGTGACCCCACGTGGCAAGCTGTGTGCCAGGGTCAGGCGGGCAGAAATGAAGAGCTCAAGGCTAAGAAATAGTTTGTGCTTAGTGAGGGGAGGAAGGAAAGAGGGAGGGAGGAAAGAAGAGGAAAGAAAGCCTTGGAAGAGGTCCCAGCCTCGAATGGGAGACAGACAGATGATGCGAGACTGGATTCAGAGCGACCGGTTCCTTGGGGGCAGCTGGGGTGGACAGTCTGGGTGTGTGACAGGCCTGCCGGCCTTCAGAGGTGTTCCCCTGAAGCCTGGCACAGGGACGTGTGGATGCTGCCCCACAGAGGGCCAGACCCCTGTCTAGGGGGACCAACCAATGGCGGAGCAAGATTCCAAATCCCCCAGGGATCTATCTCTCCACTTTGGAACCCAGTGGTGTCTCAGGAACCCACATCCCTGATCTGCTGTCCCCCAACCTGCTGTCCCCCGGGTTGGCTTGCGGCAGCTGCTGGGCAGGGCAAGGCTGCCTCCCCCTAATTGAAGGGCTCGTGCACAGACGCCCCCTTTTCTTCCACTGCTGTGGGAGCCTGTTCCGGTCTCCTGGCAGCTGGTCGGACAGCGAGATGCCTGGGAGCTGGGAAGAAGAGGCAGAGAGACAGAGGGGACCTCAGGAATTGTCAGGCCAGAGTGGAGGACCCAGGCTCTCCTTGGGGTGGGTCCAGGTCTAGCCGAGAGGGTCGGGCTTTAGCCTGCCTTCCGGGTCCAAAGTCTAAGGGGCTGTCTTGGGCCAGGGCAGGAAAGGAAAACTGTGGTCTCAGCCATTTCGTTCTCTGGGCCCTGGTTCTGCATTCACTCATTTCATAGCCATTACTTTCAGGTCCTGGACTAGGTTCTGGGGTTGGAGAGACAGGTCAAACCTTGTCTCCGCCTTTCTGACATTCCCAGGCAGTATAGGAGAGGGGCAAGCACTTTGATGAGGAAGGCCAAGGCGCTGCAGAACCCTTAACCTCACACACGGAGTCCAGAAGGCTTCCTGGAGGAGGTGATCCCTTCACTGAAGAAGTAGATGATTCTCTTTTGTGAAACACTTTCTTCACCTGGCATCTGGGACAGGTCATTCTCCTGATTTTCTCCCACCAATTTCTGTTTCTTGCTCTGTTTTTTTCTCTCAGACCCCCCCCCCCCCCCCGCCCACATGGTCTCTTCACCAAGGTCTGCTGCTTCCGCCTCCCTGCACGATCTGCTCCTTCCTCCCTCACTGGCTCACTCGCTGGGCTTCAGTAACACTGATCTGACCTTCCCCACACTTATTGAACTATTTATTACCCCAGGACCTTTGCACATTCTGTTTCCTTTGCCTGGAGCACTCTTCTCATTCTTCATTAATCTAACGCTGCCTCCTCCTCCTGCCAAACTCAACTGAAAATTCTTCTCAGGGAAACCTTCCCTGGACCATGTTTTTCTAATCCATCCAATTATGCCCCACTGTCTGTCTCTTTTCCTTTGTAGGACCTGTCCTGTTTGCACTACATGTAATTGTATGTGTGTGTGTATCTAACTGCTGCATCCCCACAGTCTCTACGCTCTGTGACCGCCATTATCCCCAGAGCATAGCTCTCTGTCTGGCGTGGAGTGAGCGTCCAACAAATACTTGTTGAAGGAATGAGTGGATGAGTTCAGCTGGCTCATGCGGAGCGGCGAGGAAAGGCAGTCCAGGCAGAGAGAACAGCAGGTGCAAAGGCACTGAGGCCGGAGAACAGAGTTCTCTGAAACGTCCAGTGAGGGTGATGCTTTTGGTCAGAGGTTGGTCAGCTGAGCTCCTTGGGGGCTCAGGAGCCTTGATGGGGATAGGGTTGGGAGAGGCAGAGCTGGGTATGGGGCTCTGGGCACCCCTCCCTGATTCAAACTGAGCAAGACCCTCTTCAGTCTGGTGGTTATCCTGAGCTCCGACTCCATTCATTAGGTGCTCAGGGACTGAAGGAGTTTGGCCGCATCCCCAGCCACTGACACCGATGGTCTGGAGAGCTGAGCCATATTCAGGATGTCTTAGCAGACAGAGCCAAGCAAGCAGGGCCCATCGGGTGGTCCTGAGGTGAGAGACCCTGAGAAGGAGGCTGGCGAGGGCTGACACAGAGGGCGGAGTGCCAAACACAGAGGCAGGGATTCTCGTATACAACAAGCAGAGGCAGGAAGGCAAGGGGAGGAAGCGAGCTTGGAGACTGTGCCCTAACCCCAGCAGAGCCCTTCATGGATGGGCCTCAGTTTCCCAAGTATAACTTGGGGCAAGGGTCAGACAAGATCTGATTGAGCACCTCTCGTGTGGACCCTTCCGAGTGGCGTGAGGAGTCCTTTGCTGAGGGAGGGACGAGAGGGAGGCCAGACCAGGGAGCAAACCTCCCCCTGCAGAACGTTGTCTCTTTGGGGTCCTCCCAGGGTCCTGCATCCCCACTTCACAGATGCCACCTCCTACCTGCACACTGCCCGCAGCCCCTGGTGCCTCCCCAACCAGGGCATGTTTTTATTCCCTGGTTGCTGGCCACTTAAGACCATACAATCCTTGAAGGAAGGGCTGCGGCTTATTTGCCACTGTGACCCCAGGGCCGTGCAAAGCGCTTGGCCCTGAGAAGTTGCTCAGTACACATTTGCTGGACCAATGAATGAATGAGTGAATGAGCGAATGAGTGAATGGCACCAGCTGGATCCTGCATGAAATAGCTGGGCACACAGAGGCACCCGCCCCTCCCGGGGTCTCTGTCCTTAGCTGTCAGTTGAGGGTGCTGGGCTCCAAGCAGCAGAATCCTCCAGCTCTGACCATCTAAGAGTTTACATCTGACCTAGCACCGTCACCCTCCTCCCTCTCTGGGCTGAGCTTCATCCCAGCTCCCTGCGCCTTCAGGTGGCCTGGACCATGTCCCTTCTCCTTGCTCAGCCTCAGTTTCTTTGTCTGACAAATGGGCAGACTCAGGCCTGCCCTGACCACTTTCCCAGTTGTCCCGGGGCCCCAGACCAGTGACTGGGGTTAAACCATTTGCAAGTAGACACCTGTTGGGGGGAGTCTGGGATTCACGGAGCAGGTAATTGGGCTCAGACAGATGCTGGGATAAATGCTCTGGAAGGGCTAGTGGCTTTGGAAATCCTGGGGTGGAAGGGGCAGCTCAGGAGCTTGTGTCTTCCCGATGATAACCAGTTGGAGGCCCTAGGATGGGACAGATGGAGGTGATTTTGTACATTTCCAAGTGCTGCAGGTATAATAACCAGTACTATTTTTAAAAAAATATGGTGTTATTGAATGTTTTTTAGAGAGAGAGGAAGGGAGAGAGAGATAGAAACATTGATGTGAGAGAGATCCATCAATGATCTGACCTTCTGCTCGCCCCCTACTGGGGATCAAGCCCACAACCCGGGCATGTGCCCTGACCTGGAATAGAACTGGGACCTTGCAGTCTATGGGACGACGCTCAATCCACTGAGCCACACTGGCCAGGCATAACCAGTACTGTTTACTGAGTGCCCACTCCCGGTGAGATGCCATGCAAGATCTTTGATGTGTCTACCTGTCTGCTTGAATCCTCACGACAATCCAGGTAGGTTGCTACTACCTCCATTTTCCAGATGAGGAAACTGAGGCTTGGGGAATTAAGTGATGGCCAGGGTCATACAGTGAGGTCAGTATTTGAACTCAGATTGCTCCAGAGCCTGGGGGCCTCATTTTCGGCACTGAGAGCATCCCTGTGTGCCAGACCTGCCTGAAGGTCCCTCCGTTTGCCCATGAAAAACCCTGCCTCCCCCGAGGGTGTGTTGGAGGAGTTCAAGGGGTGAGCATACGTGGCAGAGCCGCAACCAAAGGCGATGTCAGCTCTGCTGGAAAGAGCGGGCACAGAGCAGCTGTAATGGGATAGGGTCAGTCTGAAGAGAGGGCTATTTTGGGCTCGAAGCTGTCAGGAG